ATTATAATAAATAAATAATATTATTATATTTGATTTTTTTTTCTCATTCTCCTTTCCTTACACTTATTTTTATTTTCAAATTTAATTATCATAGTTATGTTTGTATATATATATATATATCAATATTTTTTTTAATTATATAATTTTTTTAGAAATATTCAATTATATAATTAAAGACTAGATTGAGTTATAAATTATTAATAAAACATAATTAAGTAACATTGAACTTCAATTTATTAATTCAAATTATTTTCATCAATCTTCGTTATCTTGTTCCGTCATTTCTATCGACATCGATATTTTCATAAGTAAGTTACTCATATTTTTACATATAATGGATAAAAGTGATCAATTATAACTTAATTAAGCTACAATTCAAGTTTTATCTACTAATTAAAACAATTATTATTAATTTTCACAATTTCCGTAATTTTTTCCCAAATATCCGTCGACAATGACATATCCATCAAATCAGGACCTCGACATTTCCACAATTTAAACATATTGGTTTCCATCACTATAAACTCTTCTATGAGACCCACGTCATATGGGGCTTCCAAAACTTAATGGACCTTTTCCTTTCTTTATTGGGCCTAAAGACGACCCAATTGTCCAATGAGACTTCCAAAATTCAATTGGCTCATTTTGCAATAATAAATCATATTGATTATTAAAAAGTAAAATTAATCTTAAATTAAATAATCAACGTTGCTTCCAACTTATTATTCAATGCAGATTTAAATGCAAGTTGACCTAATAGACCTACAACTTTGAGCTCCAATGATTAATAGTTTTTAATTAACCAATTTTATCTTTTAACCCAAGGTGACTCTACTATTGACTTAGGGTTGTGCTCTCATACATTGTAGCCGAGTTATGTCTATGGATATAAGATATAATCACGTTTATTTGATCCTTCACAAAATGATTCATGGTACCAGATAAACGAAACTACCATTTTGCCTCTGATCACACCTCTTGCTCCTTAAGTCTCACTGGTTCTCTAATAGATAGCCTTCCATGATCTCATCATAGGTTAATTCTTTTTGGGATATCAAGAAGATGAGTACTTTGTTGTCCAAGACTCGAATGAGCATTTTAAAGGAATCATGGAATCATTTATATACGCACTCAATAAGGAGAAGTGCAAACTTTGCACTCTCCACTATTGAAAGGCTATAAATTTTGTCTTGTGTAGGAATGTTCCCAATTCTCTACTTGAATGTGCTCCTAGAATAGAAGGTTTATAGAGTGAAGTTTCACGTCAACCTCACCTATGTAAATCAAAGAACACATCAGCATAGACAAAAGTTCATAATACATTAAGGATTAAGATCAAATGAGTATATGAGCATCCTAGTGATATGTCTGATATGTCTGCATTTTCTTTAACAATCTTATAAGAAAACGCAAGACACATCAAAGTCCAGTGTTATGCAATCTCCTCACATATCAACAGTGCCTCTAGGATAAGGTTTCAAACTCTATCATATATCATAGATTGTTTAAGCCACTACTCTTAAACTTGATCCTCGTATGTTCGTTACCTACCCAGTTTAAGAACACATCTAGTACCTTAGGAGCGATTAAACATTAAACATTAATTTCCTTGAGAAAATGAATATCTAAGTTTTAAGCTTATTTTATTTAGATATAAATAGTTTACCTCGTATCACAACTCAGAGGCATACATCCCAACAACAACAATCTCTCTTCATCTTCAACGAGCTTTGTGAATTGATAGCTCGAATCGAGCCTTTTAATTCAACCATATTTTATTTTGAACAAATTAATATTAAATTATAAATTTATGTATCAATTATGTATACATAGAGTCAAAAGCTTTTGAATTTGTTTTACAATAATTTTTTATTTATACTAAACAAACCAATAATGATTCTTTATAGTTTAGTTTTCAATATTTACTTAATTTTGATGTTTATAATAGTGAATGCATTTTAAATTATATTTTAGATAAGTAATCATATTTTATTTCTAAACTAGGTAAATTGTATCCATTTTCATCAAACTTTCTATTTCATCGAATTCAGCCTAAACTTAGATAAACATTGCTAAGTTTTTATCCCATATTCAATTTCTGCTAATTCACCTATTAATTTAAACAAAAAATAATGTAAAAACTCTAAAAA